TTCTGTATGAATTTATTTTATAGGCCCTCCCAGGGATTAATGAAAAAAAATACAAAGCCTCCTCAACCAATGAGTGATGATTACATTCGTGAAGCTAAGAATGCAGTGATTCTAGACTTGGGGAAAAAAATGAGTTTCAGCGATGTCAGATCAAACCAGCAGGTAAGATTGTTGGATTCTGGTAGTTTGAATGGAATTTTATTGTAAGGATGTAATTTTATTTAATTCAGTCCTTGCATACTTAGGTCATCTGACCTCTGACCTGTTGATGCTACAGCTTAGGTGGTAGAGCACAAGCTAAGACTCACACAGGAAGCTCACGTGCAGGAATCTGCAGTTCTTGATTACCCCATTGTTAATTCATTTTACTTGTTTATATGTGTTTGCCTATGATAGAATATACAGTAGTCTCTCCTAATCTGCAGGAGATACTGTCCAAAATGCTCTGTGGATGCTGAAACTGCAGACAGTATCCATCCCCATATGTTTTTTCCTGTATGTGCATAGCTATAATAATGTTTAAATTTTTTGTGGGGGGGTGGATACTAGGGATTGAACTCAGGAGAACTTGACCACTGGGCCACATCCCCAGCCCTATTTTGAATTTTATTTAGAGACTGGGCTCACTGAGTTGCTTAGCACCTCACTTTTGCTGAGGCTGGCTTTGAACTCACAATCCTCCTGCCTCAGCCTCTTGAGCCACTGGGATCATAGGCATGCACTATCTATCGCACTGGGCAACAATATTTAATTTAAAAATTAGGCACAGTAAGAGATCAACAACAGTAACTAATAATAAAATAAAATGAACTGGATATGGTGGTACACACCCGTAATCCTAGGTATCAGGAGGCTGAGGACAGAGGATTCAAGTTTGAGGACAGTCTGGGAAATTTAGTGAGACCCTGTCTGAAAATGAAATGAAAGGGACTAAGGATGGAGCGCAGTAGTAAAGTGCCCCTGGATTCCATTTCCAGTACTGCAATAAAAAAATGATTATAATAACATACTGTTATAAAATGTATTTAAAACTTTTAAATTTAATTCTGGGGAATTTTTGATTTAATATTTTTGGAACCCAGATGACTGCAGGAAACTGAAACTGTGAAAAGCAAAGTCATGCATAAGAGGGAACTACAATATTCAAGAAGCAGGGAGAGTGTCTGTTGTCTATTCCAGCAATCCTCAGCTCAGCTTAGACAAACACCATAACATCTGAGTATATTGATATCTGTGTCTTGAGATGTTGAGACTTTTAGGAACTTTGAGTTTTAAGCTGTCTTTCACTTGACATCCTTCAACTTTAGGTACCCTGAGGTGTGATCACAAGTTTCTCTCAGTTTTTGTATTGGGTTCAATCACTGAAACAGCCATCAGGCAACATCCTGTTTCACCAAAGAGGAAAGGAAAGCCTGTGAGCATCATGCAAACAGAAGAAAGATACATTATGTGGTTATTTGTGGTTTTGATAATCAAGTGGTTAATATTTAATGCAGGCTTGCATTTCAACTCTTGGTTTATTCCCCAAGATGAGAACTGATAAAATCTATTTTGAAATATAACAAAATTTCGTCAAAACAATATGCCAAATATTGCAGAATTTGTTCCATAAGGGGCAAATTAGAAACAAAGCTCCAGATTTTCCTGACCATATGCTGTTTTCTTTGGTGTTTCTCTTACTTCCAATGGAGTCATAGATATGCAATATTTTGCTATTGTGTTATACATTAGGCAACTTAACTGAGCAGAATCTTTTGAAAATATGCTACTTAAAACTACTTAAATTTTGATTTTTTTTTTTTTTTTTTTGGTACTAGAAATTGAATCCAGAGGCACTTAACCACTGAGCTACATCCCCAGCCCTTTTATTTATTTATTTATTTTAAAATATTTTTTAGTTGTCAAGGGACCTTTATTTTATTTATTTCTATGTGGTGCTAAGACTCAAACCCAGTGCCTCACCATTGAGCCACAACCCGAGTCCCTAGCTCTTTCATTTTTTGAGTCAGAGTCTTGCTAAATTGCTTAGGGCCTAGCTTAGTTGCTGAGGCTGGCCTGGAACTTGGTATCCTTCTGCCTCAGTCTCCTGAGACACAGGGATTACAGACACATGCCACCCCACCCAGCTTAATTTCTGATTTTTAAATTACTGAACTGAAGCAGAATATTTAAATTTCTCTAAATACCTTTCTCATATATTATTTCTGCAAATGCCAAATCAGCTATTCTTCCCTTCCATCCCCTAAGTAAGAAACTGAAACAGTTGTCAATTGGTTAGTGGTAAACTAGAACTAGATCCCTGTTTTCCTGGAGACTTTTCATTTTCCTTGAAATGCAAAAGCCTTTTTCAGTTTGATGACAATTACTTTCAAGTCCCACAAATGTTGCTCTGTCAAACACAGATTTGTTTTCCTATGATGCTGTCATCACATTTGTGGTTGTTAATCCTTCTAGGTGTCATTGAAATAAGAGCTGTGTTCAGCCTATATCTTTTACAAGGCAGAGAGAGATCAATTAGAATCCTGTAAAAATAACACCAGCTCACACATCAGCTGTTTGATTTTACTTTTATAGTTTCTCTGTAGGTAAATCCAGGCTAATCCATTGCCCAACTCCCAGGAAAGAAGGATGTTTCTCTTAATTACCTGAGATGTGAGAACATGTAAACATGATCTTCCACGGGTTGAGTACCAAAGACCCAGAAGAACTCTCTCTTAAACCTCACTGTGAACTAACTTCAGGGTCCATAGCAAGAACTGGGAAGTCCCTGAAAGCCTCTCAGTCCTCTCTATCTAATTGTCTCTGATATACACATCAGTCTTCTTCTGAGAATCATTATCCTGGGAATTATGATCACTTCATTACAGAATTGGTTTTTAGACTTCATTCTATGCTGTGGACAATGAAAGCCAAGCTATATAAATGAAATTTATGAAACTAAGAAGCTGTGTGAGATAGAATGTTTGCATTAGGTTGACAGATGTCAATTCTGAGAAAGTTTGAAGAAATAAAATGATGACCATATTATGGTATTGTTTTGTGCATTGCTGCCTTAGGAAATGATGATGAAAATGTCACGGAGATCTGTTAAGGTTAAGAAAGTTAACTTAGAAAAGTGTAAAAACATGGATGATTGGAGAACAACCATTAAGAAATATGTGAATTAATAGCTATTTATACTTGCAGTCTGAGGACAAAGGAGTCAATCTGTTTTCTCACTTTCCTATTATATGGGTGGTGGTGAACAAATGATTGCTTTAAAAGAATGTGCATTTGTTTTTGCTTTATTTTACTTTGAAAACTTTTAGGTTGAGACAGCTGGCTTCTCTTGTCCTTTTAACATAACAAGTGAATAATAATAATTATTCTAGAACATCCTTGTGGTCTAGCATTACCACATTGTGCTGAGCATGAAAATAAATCAGAAGTCCTTGCATGATGAATGTCACTCACTATAAACAATCTCCTCCTCTTTCTTTGATATATCCACCACTTTTCTTTGATATATCCACAAAAGTACTTCTCTTTTGTAACATTTCAGAGTCTGCCTGCTCTCATTTTACATCATCTTTCCAATTAACAACTAACATTTGCCATTGATTCTTAGAACTTTGTGAAATATAATGATGTCATCCTTTTAGGTGTTCATATTTACTAAAATTTTTAGCTTTCTAAACTGACAACCAAGTGTCTTTGTGCGATGGGTAAGCCAAGAGAGGGGTGCCCTGATTTCTTTTTAGGCTGCATCATTTCTTCCTTTTGGGTAGCATTCATCACTAGTGGATCTTGATTGGCCAGCCACCAGTTAAATCTAAGTAGTTTAAGTTAATGTGGGGAATCTTAGAGGTCAAAGAAACCCAGGATTACAAAATGGAATGGAGCCTTCATGACCAGTGATTTTAATTCACTCATGACTCAGCATAATGTTCTGCAACCAGCAAATACCATTGATTGTTCATTTCTAAATTTTTGCCCACCCCCCTCATCTAATGTTATATTTCAACTTTCAGCTTTCTTCTCTGGCCTCATTTCTCTGGAAACCATCTTATCTCTTTATTCTGTTCCCCGCACCCCTGCCTTTTTCATTAATGCTTCTTTAGAAACTGTCTGTGATTCCCAGATACTGCCCTGGAGGATGGGGGAGGGGAGTGTAAGTATCTTGACACTTATTCTGCCTTTTTGCTCCTCTGATCTCTTTCTTCTCTAAGCTGCTCTGTCATTTCCTCTATTTAAATCTTACCTCTTTCATCTCTTATGGTGAATTCTTTATGGTAATCCTCTTTTGTGAGCAAATAGTCATGACATCCATTCCGTTTCTAATAAGCATTATTATATATTGGCCTTCTGGAACATACTGTAAGGCCATTGGCATTGTAGAAGTCTGGCTGCTGGGACAGTGTCCATATGTCCTCTGCCATGGGCTCACCCAGGAGGCACCAGTTATGAGCTCCCTGGGTGCTGTGATTAGGGGTTGTCTTGTCCATTGTTACATCCCTGTTAAGCCTGGCACAGAATAAGTATTCAGTGGGTACTTGCTGAATTAACCCACAACTATGAGATTCTCATTAGTTTCAGGTAAGATAATGAAACCTTTAGCCAAATAGAAAAGTTTGGGTTTATTGCATAACAATGGAAAAATCTTCACTTGACTACATAGATTCTGATTGTAGATAGTACATGCCATGGTAGCAATGCATTTTATTTACTTATAATATTTTTTTTAGTTGTCAATGGGCCTTTATTTTATTTATTTATATGCGGTGCTGAGGTTCAAACCCAGTGTGTCACACATGCTAAGCAAGTACTCTGCCACTGAGCCACAATCTCAGCCTCTTATTTTGTTTTGTTTTTGTTTTTATTTTTTTTTTAGTTATAGTTGGACACAATGTCTTTATTTTATTTATTTTTATGTGGTGCTGGGGATCGAACCCAGAACCTTGCACGTGCTAGACAACCACTTTACTGCTGAGCCACAACCCCAGCCCCCTTTTATTTGTTTTTTAAATATGGAACACTTCACAAATTTGCTAGTTATCCTTGCACAGGGCCTGTGTTAATCTCTGTATCATTCCAATTTTAGTATATGTGCTACCAAAACGAGCATTAGCAATCCATTTTAATCAGCTGATTAAAAAGATGAAAACTTAGAAACATGCAAAAATTAAGCAAAACTCTGGTGTTAACTTGAACATTTAAATATAAAATAAGTTTGTGCATCTTTCAGTGATTTATTCTTAAATATACGATTTGGATTAAAAGTATTTTTATACAACCTCCTTGAAGGCGGAGTCTGTGTTTATAAAATGTCACATTTTCCATATTCATCATAGTATTTAGCACATAGCAGGTGCTTGCTAAGAATTTGTGAGCAGGGTCAGGGAGTAGGCTACAAACACTGATTATTTCAAGGAAGGGAATGAGTGATTATTAGATAAATAGTAAAGAAATCATTCTCTATGTATGTTAACCTCCAAGTTTATCTAGGAACCTTTGTTGTTCCAAATCTGCCTGTGCGTGGAATGGAAGGGAGAATACTTTCACCAACACATAAGATTTTCTTTAGGCTAGGAGTATGGCTTGGTGGTAGAGCACTTACCCAGCATGTGTGAGGCCCTGTGTTCTATCTTTAGCACCATTAAAAAGAATTTTTTCTTTTTGTGGAGATGGGGGGGGGGTCTGCCCGGGATTGAACTCAGGGGCAATCAACCACTGAGCCACATCCCCAGTCCTATTTTGTATTTTAATTAGAGACAGGGTTCTCACCAAGTTGCTTAGCATCTCACTTTTGCTGAGGCTGGCTTTGAACTCATGATCCTCCTGCCTCAGCCTTCCGGGCTGCTGAGATTACAGGCAGTGCCATCGCGCCCAGCTGAATTTTTTTCTTTTAGTACACATCATACCCAATATACATGGGGAACCTTTCTCAAGGTTTGAACCTGTTTCATTATTTGCCCCTGCAGTTCAGACTCAGAACTCAGAGTAGAGGAAGGCTGTAGTGAGCTCAGGCTGTGAGTGCTGGATGTCTGCCCCTGTCTTAACAATGTCTGTATCTGATTGGGATGTATTGTTCTCAACAGAAGAAAAGTGCCTTTCCACAACTCTGCCAATTTGAAAATAAATTCCTGAAGTCTAATGTTTCAAGTAGTCAAATTATCATCCTTAAGAGGATTATATTTAAAGAAAAGAAATGAGGCTATGTTTTCAAATGTCATATTCTTCTGAAATAAATTTAAGTTAGCTTTTCAATTGTTTTTATAAAGCAACTATAAGATTTTCTTTAGGCTAGGGGTATAGCTTGGTGGCAATTCATGAGCCTGGAAAGGATGGGTCATTTATCACTGATTTAATTTCCACACTGGCTAGATTCACACAGAAAAAAAAAAAATCTCTCCTTTGGGCACAGATGTCACCTACAAGCAGCTGACACAGAAACTCCTGTAGTTACTAAAAAACGGAATGAGGCAAGGAAAAATGAAGACCACAGCATAAACCCAGTACTGGGAGTTTAAAACACATCCAACTGACAGTGGATCAGTAGTGCAACTTTTATGCTGGATGTATGCAGAAAGTTTCCTTAAATTTAACTTAAACATATTCTTGTTTTTTGCAAGTTTCCTGATGAAATTTGACTCACAGTGTTCATAACTAAAAATGACAACTTGAATTCAGGTGTAGTATAGATAGAGCCACAAGTTTAATAAAATTTTACCCTTAACCCAAGTACATTGTTCCAGATTCCTCAAAGATGGTGATGTTGAAGCAAGTGATGACCTTTATGTCGTTCATGTATTCAGTCATTCTTCATATATGTATTGAGCACCTGCCAGGGGGCAGCATTATTCTAGGTGATGTTGATAGAGTGGGAAGAAAGTCATCCAAGATTCCTGCTCTTGTGAAGCAAACATTCTGACACCCAGATAGTCATTCAATCAATAAATAAGAAAAATACAGCTAGTATAGCAGCGCTATGTGGGGAATTAGAATGGAGAGTTAGCTTAGATGAAGTGACTGGGAAGAGTTCATTTCAACTTGACAGATAGGATTTTTTTATTGGTTGTTCAAAACATTACAAAGCTCTTGACATATCATATTTCATACATTTGATTCAAGTGGGTTATGAACTCCCATTTTTACCCCGTATACAGATTGCAGAATCACATCGGTTACGCATCCATGTTTTTACATATTGCCATACTAGTGACTATTGTATTCTGCTATCTTTCCTATCCTCTACTATCCCCCGTCCCCTCCCCTCCCATCTTCTCTCTCTACCCCATCTACTGTAATTCATTTCTCTCCCTTGATATTTTTTCCCTTTCCCCTCACATCCTCTTATATGTAATTTTGTATAACAATGAGGGTCTCCTTCCATTTCCATGCAATTTCCCTTCTCTCTCCCTTTCCCTCCCACCTCTCGTCCCTGTTTAATGTTAATCTTTTTCTCATACTCTTCCTCCCTGCTCTGTTTTTAGTTGCTCTCCTTATATCAAAGAAGACATTTGGCATTTGTTTTTTAGGGATTGGCTAGCTTCACTTAGCATAATCTGCTCTAATGCCATCCATTTCCCTGCAAATTCCATGATTTTGTCATTTTTTAGTGCTGAGTAATACTCAATTGTGTATAAATGCCACATTTTTTTAATCCATTCGTCTATTGAAGGGCATCTAAGTTGGTTCCACAGTCTAGCTATTGTGAATTGTGCTGCTATGAACACCGATGTAGCAGTATCCCTATAGTTCGCTCTTTTAAGGTCTTCAGGGAATAGTCCGAGAAGGGCAATAGCTGGGTCAAATGGTGGTTCCATTCCCAGCTTTCCCAGGAAATCTCCATACTGCTTTCCAAATTGGCCGCACCAATTTGCAGTCCCAGCAGCAATGTACAAGTGTACCCTTTTCCCCACATCCTCACCAGCACTTGTTGTTGTTTGACTTCAGAATGGCTGCCAATCTTACTGGAGTGAGATGGTATCTTAGGGTGGTTTTGATTTGCATTTCTCTGACTGCTAGAGATGGTGAGCATTTTTTCATGTACTTGTTGATTGATTGTATATCCTCCTCTGAGAAGTGTCTGTTCAGGTCCTTGGCCCATTTGTTGATTGGGTTATTTGTTTTCTTATTGCTTAATTTTTTGAGTTCTTTGTATACTCTGGATGTTAGGGCTCTATCTGAAGTGTGAGGAGTAAAGATTTGTTACCAGGATGTAGGCTCCCTATTTACCTCTCTATTGTTTCTCTTGCTAAGAAAAAAACTTTTTAGTTTGAGTAAGTCCCATTTGTTGATTCTTGTTTTTAACTCTTGTGCTATAGGTGTCCTATTAAGGAATTTGGAGCCCGACCCCCCAATATGTAGATCGGAGCCAACTTTTTCTTCTATCAGACGCAGAGTCTCTGATTTGATATCAAGCTCCTTAATCCATTTTGAGTTAACTTTTGTGCATGGTGAGAGAAAGGGATTCAGTTTCATTTTGTTGCATATGGATTTCCAGTTTTCCCAGCACCATTTGTTGAAGATGCTATCCTTCCTCCATTGCATGCTTTTAGCCCCTTTATCGAATATAAGATAGTTGTAATTTTGTGGATTGGTTTCTGTGTCCTCTATTCTGTACCATTGGTCCACCCGCCTGTTTTGGTACCAGTACCATGCTGTTTTTGTTACTATTGCTCTGTAGTACAGTTTGAAATCTGGTATCGCTATACCTCCTGATTCACACTTCCTGCTTAGAATTGCTTTTATTATTCTGGGTCTTTTATTTTTCCATATGAATTTCATGATTGCTTTATCTATTTCTACAAGAAATGCCGTTGGGATTTTGATTGGCATTGCATTGAACCTATAGAGAACTTTTGGTAATATCGCCATTTTGATGATGTTAGTTCTGCCTATTCATGAACAGGGTATATTTTTCCATCTTCTAAGATCTTCTTCTATTTCTCTCTTTAGGGTTCTGTAGTTTTCATTGTATAAATATTTCACCTCTTTTGTTAGGTTGATTCCCAAGTATTTTATTTTTTTTTGAGGATATTATGAATGGGGTGTTTTTCCTCATTTCCGTTTCAGAAGTTTTGTCACTGATATACAGAAATGCCTTTGATTTATGCATGTTGATTTTGTATCCTGCCACTTTGCTGAATTCATTTATTAGCTCTAGTAGTTTCTTTGTAGATCCTTTTGTGTCTTCTAGGTATAGGATCATATCATCCCAAATAATGATAATTTAAGTTCTTCTTTTCCTATCTTAATGCCTTTAATTTCTTTTGTCTGTCTAATTGCTCTGGCCAGTATTTCAAGAACTATATTGAATAGAAGTGGTGAGAGAGGGCATCCCTGTCTTGTTCCAGATTTTAGAGGGAATGCCTTCAGTTTTTCTCCATTTAGAATGATGCTAGCCTGAGGCTTAGCATATATAGCTTTTACAATGTTGAGGTAAGTTCCTGTTATCCCTAGTTTTTCTAGTGTTTTGAACATAAAGGGATGCTGTACTTTGTCAAACACTTTTTCTGTGTCTATTGAGATGATCATATGGTTTTTATCTTTAAGTCTATTGATGTGGTGAATAACATTTATTGATTTCCGTATATTGAACCAGCCTTGCATCCCAGGGATGAATCCTACTTGATCATGGTGCACAATCTTTTTGATATGTTTTTGTATCTGATTTGCCAGAATTTTATTCAGGATTTTTGCATCTAAATTCGTTAGGGATATTGGTCTGTAGTTTTCTTTCTTTGAGGTATCTTTATCTGGTTTGGGAATCAGGGTGATATTGGCCTCATTGAATGAATTTGGAAGTTCTCCCTCTTTTTCTATCTCCTGAAATAGATTGTAGAGTATTGGTATTAGTTCTTCTTTAAAGTTCTTGTAAAACTCTGCTGTATATCCATCCGGTCCTCGGCTTTTCTTGGTTGGTAGTCTTTTGATGGCTTCTTCCATTTCCTCACTTGATATTGGTCTGTTTAGGTTGTTTATATCATCCTGACTCAATCTGGGTAGTTCATATGCCTTATGGAATTTATCGATGCCTTCACTATCTTCTATTTTATTAGAGTATAGGGTTTCAAAATAATTTCTAATTATCTTCTGTATTTCTGAATTGTCTGTTGTGAT